GGGCTCTGTTTGGCCAGGTGGGGTCAGCCCCCAGCCCCCAGCTGTGCCCCTTCCTGGAGTCCGGTGAAAATTAACCCTGTCCTGGCCAAACCCAGGACAAGAAGTTACTGGTGGAAAGATTGGGGGGGCGGGGCGGGCAGGGCAGAGAATACAAAGTAAGAACAGCAAAATAACTGCTCTTCATATCTACCTGTTGATCCTGCATCAAAGTTTGACAAATGCTGACACTAAATTCGTGCTGTTTCTTCAACTGATTGATCTGCTCTTGCCATTGTTCCTTTTCTTCCACATATGAAAGGTCGGACATCCACCGAAGGTTTTCCTGACGTCGCATACTTATGTTTTGCTGTTGCCTGGCCTTAGACGACGGGCGATAATTCCCATCTGCTGAAAGAGGACGGCAATTTTTCCACCTGAGTGGGGAAAAAATGAAGAATGAGGACAAACGCTGACACTTCAAACAACTTTTTCTAATGATAGTGCCATTATTCAAATTATGTTTCAGTTGTATGTCAACGACTCACTTGGCACAGGTCATTTCACCATGCCAGCTAAACACCCATGCGATTTTGTCAATCCAACATTACCCTGAACAACTGGAAAACAACAGCCACCCAACTGACAACCACTGTCAAAAAAGAATTACAAAGGATGTTTCTGGATCTTGTTTTCAGTATCATCCATTACTAATATGGGATGTGTACTCACATGAAAACAGAAGCCACCAATGTAATACACTTAGAATTACGAGGCCCAGCTCCTGACTAGAAGACCACTATTTAGTAAAAGTATGTTGGTATCAAAACCAGGGAAAAGTCAACTGAAGAGATAAATATATATTTCTTTTAGTGTGACATCCTCATTTAATCACAAAAAGCTTATTAAGGAAATCAATCAGCTAAGCAGGAGTTAAAACTATTCACGTTAATTCAAAAATTTAATAAGAAACAGTTTTCAAAGCTGCAAAAGCCAACAATTTGAAAGTGAAAATTTCAGAGTTAGTTTAATTCTCTGAATTTCTTTTTTTGAAGAGACTGATCAATATAATTGCAAAAATTTCGTATAGGTTATCTTTTAAGCTGACTAAAACATGAGAACATATGGAGCTACTGCAACACAACTGGAGAGCTCAATGGCAGACACTTAACATGACTGAAAACAGAAGAAATAATCAAACCAGTTGCACACATTGCAGCTACAGAGACTCAGACAAGAAAGTGCCACTGCACATAGTGCAAGCAGAAAGTAATTTCACTTTAGTGTAAAAGAATGCCTTGTAGTTAACGTAACGTGTCTTCCACCTCTTCCAAACACACTCTGGCAAGCATCAGATCAGCAAGTAATGCCACTAACCTCTCCTTGTTTTCTTTAACAAAATACGCATTGTCTGGTACGTTGTTATTTGGATAAACAGAGAAACTGTCATTCAAACTTGATGCGTCTTCTTCCTCCTCTTCTGCCTGACCAACTCCATCAGAGAGGTAACCGTCTTCATCTCCATCCTCTTCATCTAGTGCACACTGGGTAGAACCTCCCCAGGTAGCCATTGTCCTAGTCAACATTGGATAACAAAAATAAGGGGACGTTTGGGAAGAAAGAAGTATTTTTTGTTGCTTATGACTAATTACTACAACAATCTGTTGACAATTACAAGACTGTCTAACTTCAATTAATCAAGCTGCACCAAAATTAATTTAAACATTACCTCACCAATGCAAAATGAAACTAATATTCTTCTGATACTGGGGCAGTTCAATAAAATTACTTACTGTTTTGGAAGATTATTACTTTGTTATAAATGGTGTCGAGATGAAGAAAAATTACTCTGAGCATTTGGCATTTTCCAAACACTCTCCTTTCCTTGGGCAATTTTTCACCATTTATGGAGCAGGGGAGAGTAAATATGCTGGGAAGACCCACAAAACTGGCAAGCCGCCAACTACCAGTCACTTTAGGTGAAGAAGTCAAGAAATTAATTTACTGTTCTGTTCTATCACCACATTCAGTGCTCAGATGAAAACAGGGAACTGTCCCAAGACTGACATCTCACTAACAACAGAAGTGCCCACTGACTAACACAGTGACTCGTGTTCTTACTTTTCAGTCCTGCTCTGCTGTGGAGTACGTTGAGCTTCTGAGCTTTCAGTTTTAACAGATGCAGCAACAGTAGATATTGTTTCTGCAAGCTCTCTCCTCCTCTGATGTTCAGCCATTAAAGCTTCAAGTTGCTTTCTTCTCTGTCGTAATTCTTCTCTTAAAATCTCATGTCTTCTCATCTCAGACCATAACTGTTTGCAGTAAAATGGAAGACATTAGAATATAAACAAAACAAATACACTAAAGCACATTAAAATTCCAGCCTTTGATACTATACCAATACCTTTTTGTTCAGGCATTGGTATTACACTGGAACTGAAGTTACAGTACAAAAAAGCTGCAAAATACAGCCCATATTTACTATTTATCCCAAATACTGCAAAATCTAAGAAAGTAGTTGGACATTACAGGACAGAATTTTCTAAGAAAACCAGCACATGTTTCACTCAAGACTGGTTTTCTCACATAATACAGACATTATAAGTCTGACAGAATACTACCGTCTGGAGAAATATGAAAACTGAGCCAAGAACTTCTCGATAACTAAGTAGAGCATACAATGAAAAGATTTTCTGCAACCTGCAGAAACTTCAAGTTCAGTGCACGTTTGAACAAGATTTAAGGAAGCCATGATTTACAAAGAAAAGCACATGTGGAAAAGGTACAGGTAGAAAGAGGCCTGTATCTGCCTTAAATTAGATACAGTGAAGGCATAAATGGCAAGATACTTTTCTAAACATGTAAACAGCTTTATCGTAATAGCATAACATGTAGAAACAATTGTGTAAGTGAGCTAGACTAGAAAACGCAGACTTAAGAGACAGGCAAGTGACAATGTACTCAAACCTGAAATCAGCTGAAGTAGTTGGTGCTACTGGAGATAAGAAGTTGTCCAACAAAGATCCATACATATTCTGATAATTAATAACTCAACCTGCTTGTAGAGTGTTAGCAATTGCATCGGCACATTAATTCAGACCTTTTATTTTTTCAGAAGAGACAAGCTGTCCTATAATGCTTATTTGGAAGATGCCAAAGTTCTGAAATTCTCTTCTTCGAAAAGGAAAATTTGGCTTTTAAGGACAACAGTACAGGCACTACCCAATCAGCCTCACCTAAACTGTTTAAGGAAAATTTACAAGAATGCTGATGCAACTCACAGAAAGTCTACTAAAAAAAGGTGGGTTTTTAGATATTTGTTTCTAATGTCTAGTCTAGGCAGGAGACACTTTTCATCACATCTCTCTCCATGCCTACAAATGCTAGCACAATTTTCAGACAGACTAAGTAATATCCAGATCATTATTGAAGACGTGAATTTGGGGGGAAAAAGGGAAGTAAGATGTGTAGAAGATAAACGAAGTTTCAAATACTGCCATCATTTTCTTCACGGATGACTTGCCTGTGGTATACACTACCAAATGTTCACAGTACAGATTCAAAATTCATTCAACTTCACATCAATATTTGGCAACAACAGCCACATTTGGGGAAAGACCTCTTGCCAGTTCAGGTCAATATTTACTACTTTCATTTCTGAAAACAAAGAATTTATCCACATCTTGTTAAAATGGCTACTACTTCACTCCCTGCGCCAAGTACTTCAAAATGTGTCCAAGTTATCTAGAACATTATTCCTTTTTAAACCTTTTCAAAGTCACAGAATATCAAGTATGAAATACCTCATTGCCTACTGGTACAGATTCATCAAACTCCAGTAAAGGCTTGCCAGCTGTGTCACACTCGTTCATGGCCGGAGTTGAGGTCGCTGGTGAAGGCTGCCCATTGGCTGGGCAGTTACCCAGGCCAGCTGACAACTGAAAGAGAAAGCAAAATGGCAAAACAGAGTACACCAGCTTTCTAAAACTTACCTGCTGTTAAAAGCCAACACAGCTCAGGCTTTATGAGACAGAATTAGTAATCGGTGAAAAGGGATTTTCGAATCAAAGCTAAATACTTATTTCAGAACCTAGACAGGAATCAAAAAACCTTATTTTTATGTGATCTAGTATTACATAATGCTGTGTATGCACAGTACTGATAATTTACTGCTCACCTCATAGGAAAAAAGTTCATCTTCAAAGGGTATGAGAAACAGTACAGCACCATGCAGCTCAGTCTGAATACAACAGAGTGTTGATCGTGCTTACAAGACACAGTATTATTTCAAAATACCAGACCCTACAAATGACTACAAAGAGGAGTGAAGATGCAGTGACTGGCAGGTAAGAACAGATAAATTTCAATTTTAAAAATAAGGTAGAAGGTTCTCTAACTTTGAAGCCTTTAAATCAAGTTTTTTGAGGACAAACTACGGTGATGACTAGAGCTTCATACAGCAATCACTGAGCAAGAACTTACAGTGGAATGAGATAACCAGAGCTCTCCTCTACAAAGTCCAGCTGCTTACAGTATACAAGTATTATGAATTTAAAGTCTTTTTCCAATTTTTATAGTGAAAAAATGGTGTGAAAGGTATTTTATGTTTTGTGGCTCAACAGCTTAAAAGAAGCAAAGAAATACATTCTACCTACTTGAAGGTCAGGACAAGCTTTCTGTAACACTTGAATTTTTTCTTGAATTTCAATCAGTTTTTTTCTTTCTTCTTGTAACTGCTTGAGCTCCTGCTGCTGCTGCTGAAGTTTAGCTTCATAAAACTTCTCTCTGTGTAAACAAGTTATACGCATATCACTTAGCAAGAAGTTGCCTAAAGCATGATTCTGCTATCCTTTAACAAAGGCATACCTTGCTTTTTCATTTAGTCCTACATCTTTTTGTAACTTGTTAGCACTAGCTCGGACATTGTTTGGTTGTTGCTTTGTCTCTTCCATCTCGCCCAAAAACAAGTCATCAATATTGGATGCATTTGCAATTGTTGCTTGAGGTTCTGGATCATCATCCTGAAAGGATGTCAGAAAGGCAGTTAGACTATTTTCAAGTTGTTACACAAAACGTAACAAGTTTAGTCTGTCTAACTAATTTTTCAAAACTAAACAGTCCGAATAGCTTTATCTTTAGTTCAGATCATAAACCGAGAAATCATCATCTTCATGGCATCACATCTCTAAGATATATTAAGTTCACGAGAGAGTATTACATTTATAAACCTCACACTATGGAAACTTCCACTACAAATGCAAAAGAACGTGCCTCATTCTGGAAGCATAAACAACTTGAATTGTATTTTATGCCTACAACTGAGCAGACAGAAACACACAGGCATGTCAAGAAACAAAGGGGGAAGTGAAAAGAGGAACAGAAGGAGACTGAGGTGAACAAGACTGCTTAATTACTGTAGCCATGAAGTTAAATATTACTGTTAACAGCTTAAAAGAAAAACAAAACTACAAAACTTTTTAGAAACAAAACTGAAAGTTTGTTTTAAAATATTTTAGAAACACTCTTCTGCATGGTTGTCTATTCCGCTTTTCCTGTTTTCATAATTTTTGTATATTCAGTTCTCAGCTTAAATTGAAAATATTAAAGCTGTAGCCATTGCTTCTTTTGTTTTCCAACATGATCGTTCTTAATACAGACCTTGGGGAACAGGAAAGATCATCATCAGTGACCAAGTATGACACAGCTACACAGACCTACAGTACCATTACAAACTAAAATAGGGCAGATTTAGATTCGATATTTGGAAGAAATTCTTCACCATGAGGGTGGTGAAACACTGGCACAGTTGCCCAGAGAAGCTGTGGCTGTCCCCTCCCTGGCAGTGTTCAAGGCCAGGCTGGATGGAGCTCTGAACAACCTGGTCTGGTGGAAGGTGTCCTCGCCCATGGCAGGGGGGTTGGAACGAGATGATCCTTCAGGTCCTTTCCAACCCAAACCATTCTATGTTTCTATGATTACTGAGTACATACAGATACAAGCCTTGCAAATATGAAGGAAAGATTGAAGACATGACAGTAATTAGGTTATTTATTGAGGAAGCTGCCCTCACCATCTCTAATTCTGATTTATACCACTGTACAGTTAACATCTCTCTAGTGATGATAAAAACCAATAACGAATGCTATATTTTTGTGCACAGATGCACATTCATAGAATACCTGCACCATAGCAGCAAGGTTTTGTAACTGTCTAAGTTTCTGTTTTGCAGCTATAAGCCTATTGATCTTCTGCTCAAACTCAGCATCTCCAGCAACATCACCCAGGCTGCTTCTGTGACTAGATACAGAATCTTCACTAACTCTGTCTTCTTCCACTTCATCATCTTCACCTTGGGGTAGGTCGGTATCTTTGTCGTCCTCCCTATTATGACAGTCTGGAGTCGGGGAGAGGAGGAAACAAAACAGTACCAATGACACATCTGTGAACTTCTGAAGTCCACCGTAATTGCTGGACATAAGAAAAATATCAGCTTAATCATTAGACTCTCGAGCATTTTGCTTAAACACAGTTCTCCCAAATTCTGTGCCGCTATCAGAATTATTTACACTAAGACTCAAAATTATTAGAAGACCTTAGAACATACCTAGAGTAGAAGACATTTTTAGAGTCCTTATATTAGCAGCAGATCGGTTATTTATTTCACAGTCTGTGTTAAGATGTCTTCCATCTCTGTTATTAGTCCCACACTGCACATTGGAGTTGCTATTGATTTCACTCCAACTACTGATTCCTTGAGGGTTTCTAGAGTGAAATACATTACTTCTATTAACTTTTTAAGAACTGATATAGATGGAATTTTACTTCAGCCATTTTATTAACTAGCTTTTTACAGGAACATTTCCTGACCTTTTAAAAAAGAAAAATCAACCCCATATAAAATCAGTCCAAACATTTGGAATTTCTCAATATCTGTCTCTCCAACAGTTTAGACTTTTTTTTACACAAAAAAGCAGCTATGAATTATCCCCTTCTAGATCTACAACAATACAAGAGGCTTTCAAGGTATATGTCTATATTATAAAAGGTTTACATGATTCATAGCTAAATAAGTATTCACTTCTGCACAGTGAAGATCCTTGATGCACACGGTTCCCCTGTTAGACTATAGCTCTAAATGCCTTTCTAAACTCCAGATTTATTTTATTCCAGTTCTCTAGTCTAGGCCTGTTAACCTTCTAGTGGAATTCCATACACATCATTCAGTGCTTAAACCCCCAGGAATTACAGACTTTGAAGTCTTTTATAGTCATTTTCTAAATGTCTAATCTATTCTACATTTGCCATATAAATAAGTTACCAAGCACAAGATTATTATCAATTATCTGCATAAGAAATCTACTTAAAATTAAAAACTTTGGAAGGTTAATGCAATCACAGAATTAAGTTGCTTCTGGTTGACTGAAATAATGTATTGTTTCAGGAAACCTGTAACAAAATAGCTAACAAAGATTTAGGATGACAAAAAATATGACAACCTAATATTTGTAACAGGCTGTGGATCCTCATGTTCAGAATCACTTTCTGATTCTTCTGTTTCTTCCTCTTCCTTCGTATTTTCATTCACAGCATCTGTCATCATATCAGATGTTTGCTCATAGTAGTGAACTAACTCGCGTAACTCATTCAGCCTCTTGCGAACTTCATTTAACTTCCTGCAGAGAGACAAAAAGAATATGCGAGGTGTTCTGTCATATTAATCAAACCTACGCAGAGGTGAAAAGTACGTATGTCATCTATAGTTCTTAAAGTTTAGTGCCATTTTCCTAGCTGTAAGAACCTTATTCTTGAAGCTCTGAACTCATTTACTGTCTTAGACCATTAATAAATGGTCTATAATACTAAATTAAGTAGATTAAAATATGAAAAATCGTTTCTTAACACATACATTATTAAAACAGTAACACTCAAAATCCCTAAAGCACCTTATGAAAAAAAAAATTAAAGAACTTTTACTGAAGCTTTTCTGTCGGATTTAGGTTGTCATCCTCTTCACTCTCATTCTGAGAAACCAGGGAATCAGGAGGATAGGGAGCAGACGCCATGCTATTTGATTCGCCATTGACAACAGTTACTATGCCTACAGGACCAGAAGCAGCTGAAGTTGTACTTCTTTGATCAATGCTCCTTTGAGGAGAACCTGAAGCAGGAAAAACTACAGAAAAGAAATACAGCTCATAAGAACAATTTTCAAAAAGGAACTCACTTCACTGAATTGTATTAAAATTTAACTACAAAAAATATTACCAACAATTCAAATAGCAATTAATAACTTCCTCTCTTAGAAGAATAAAAGCTTTTGTCTTAAGTTTCATGCTATGCAATGTCAATAGGCAAGAGTAATAAGTAGCTTTTGTAAACAAGACTTCAGTCAGTTCCTTTTAGCTTTATCGAACTTCAGAAATGCAAGGTTTCATGCTGTGAATCTGCACACAGAGTTCTTCCAAGAGTTTATTTATGGCTGAATTGGGTTTTTTTGACATTTAACATTTCAACATGAGAAAAAAACATCATATCAATTTTTTCCTCTGCTAAGCTCTTGCCTCCATATGCTGTAGAACGTAGATTTGAGATTTCATGTTTGCTTTTTCCAGCTACATGAAATCATATCCAAATATGTTCATATTATATGCATGAAGTACATACAGAAAGATGGGGATAACTATTAAATCAGTCTGGCCTTCTCCAGGAGCACGCATCAAGTGCCTCATTTCTTCATGTTAACCAGAATATGCTGTGATCACCCCTCAGAAGTTTTCAGCTATAGAACAAACTTCAACAGTACAAAGCTGTTTCTAAAAATAGACAGCGAGAGCAGCAAGTAGGCCCACATCAAGACTTTAGGGAGAAGAAAAAGCTGTCTGAGGAACAGGCCAAAACACTAGACCATTCAGACAGTTAAGTTCCACTGGTATGGCCTATCATCAAAGTCCCTGCAACTGGTGCATGACAAAGTCTTTTGACAGTGGACAAGCAAACCCCGTAACACCACAGAGCTACTAACATCTGAAGTGCTGAGTACATAAATTCAGATGTACTGTAATAAAAATACAGGAAGTTGAAATTCATATGGTACAAACAAGTCAGATGTGTCACAGACAAGCCTTGAAGAAAAATATCCCGTCATCACATCCTCACATTAGTCAACTTTGAAAATATTATAAACCAGAGTGCTACTTGCAAAAACACTCATCATTACTTGTACAGCTCTCCATTAAGCCAGAAACTTATACAGCATTAAAAAACATTTACACAATATTGCCCCAGCACAGCTTTATCACCTGCATTTCATTAACTAGTTGCAAGTTGAAAGACCGTGTTACAAACATGCATGTTAAAAAAGTTGTATTCTTGAAAAGTTCCAATTCTGTCTATATTTACTTACAGGACGAGTTATTTAGGTGTTGGTCACGAAGCGTATGCAGTTCTCCTAACAGTTTGTCCATTTTTTGCTTTTTACCCTGCAACATTCGCATCTTGTTAAAAAGCTGCGCCTTCTCATCTGACAGGTGTTCGGACATGGAAGAGTTTCTGCTTTGCGAAATCTCTCTGGTAAGTGAGAGACTTTCCGCTTGCCTTCTATTGTCTGGCACAGACTGTGTCTAAAAAGAGTAATTTCATTTTATTCAGAGTACTAAGAAAAAATCCAAAGAAATCGTAAGAAACAAAAAGCCCTCTTACAGGTTTGCTAGGCTCAACACCAGAACAAAGAACGTTATAAAGGGAAACCAATACTGAAAACTCTCTCATGATATCCCAATTATATACTGAGTTCATATATAATTACACTACAACATAGAAACTACTTATCTGGACTTTCATGGAAAACTGAGACAAGAAAGTATAGATCAGTCAGCTAATAACTCTTAAGAGCACAAAGACGCTGAGCTTTCAAGTTTGGGGGAACCCTAATTACTCCACTAGCAAATGCACACAAATAAGCAAGGCAAGCATTTAACTACACTGTTCAAAAGAACAAGAAACACAGACAATGGCAAAATTTATACAGTGCAGTCCAGGACTGACCTGAGAATCATGAAGCTGGTTGTGAAAGCGCTGAATTAAGTCATTCAATTCTTCATTCAGTTCTGAAGTAAGGCTTACTCCTGAAACACTACCTGTAGTCTCTGTTACAACTGGGCATGCAGAAGGAAGAAAAAATGTAAATACTTTTTCTCTAGTGATGAAATAAAGGCTATTTGATGAAAATGTTTGGTTTAACAAGAACACCAATATACTGCACCTCTTAAAATACAGCAATTATTTTTAACGTTGTGTCCTTCCCACCAACTTTACACTTGAAAGATTATTTCCATTACAGAAATACTAACAAGCCAACTCACAGCTCCTTTGTGAAGAACCATACAAAAGGACTTGATAAGTCTGTTCAGTGTTTTGCTAAAAAGCTCAGAGCAAAATGAAAATGACCAAATTGTCTAGGGTTGATGGAAACATTTTGCTTGTTAGAAACAATTGTTATTAATTAGTATAGCCAAACTAAGAACAGTTCATGTAATTTTACTTCCTTGAAATAATAAATTAACAGGATACTAAGCTTTCATCTTGGTATAAGCTGTAATCTTTACAGCTGCAAAAAGAGTCTTGGGGGTCTGTCCTTCAAAACGCTTTATGAGAGGAATACATTAAAAAGAAAGCTACGATATGGAATTGGCAGTTGAGAGATCCAAATAACTCTTTCTTTCTCCCCCAAAATGAACCAATACTTCATAAGAGAAATCAAGCAAAATATTATTTATTTTCCTCATAGATCATAACTTTGTTACCTGCACAATAAAAGTTTACTATTTTCAGATTTAAAAACATTTATTTTGCCCTATATTGAATTTGAATCCTTACATTTCCCAGCCTACAGTTCTGGCACATCTTTAAGTAAGTCAACACAAAGAGCAGTAAGAAACTTAAGAGTGACATAAGTGGAAATGTGAAACAAGCAAAAACAACACCAAAGAATTTTAAAAAATGAAATTCTAATTTGTCATAAGTAATTCTATTTTCTACCCACTTCATCTACCCACTCCTCATCAAGATGGAATTTTGTGTATCTGAGGAAAGAAGAGAGCGCAGATTCCATCACAGGCCTACTTCTGCTGAGCAGATAGGAGAAAAGCAATTACTGAAAACCGTTTAAGAAACAAGGAAACACCTTTTGAAGCCACTTGCTTCTCTTGCTCCTGTGGCAGCTTTCTAAAAGCTTTCTACCTACCAACTTCTCTGCTTCTCTTCCTACACTAAAATCTGGAGTTTTCTTAACTAGTTCCACCTTCTTCCCTATAGTCTATTAAATCAAGGACAGGAGAAAAAGCAGAAAGAGGAGCTCATCAGAACAAGGAACCTTAAAGAGAGACTTTTTGTAATATGGAGAATCCAATGCTCATATTTCTACAAATTAAGCTCTTTTAAATACGAAAACTAACTGTACTAAGAACTGCTATCTCATACACCCTCTAATCAAGCCTAACAGCAACTCTTATGGGGAAGAGTCATGGAACAGTAACACAGACTGAATTTGAACTTGCTCAGTGCAAAAACGTCATTCCCTACGACTGCACACATAACTGCACCCCATTTCCAAAGAAAACAGGATTTAGGGAGGGGGGGACAGGCAGGATGAGTTTCCAACAAAAGATAATTCACATGTCAACAGTCGAGAAATCAAGGACAACTGTCTCTCTTCTAAGATTGAACTCTTGAGAAAACAACTCTGTGGACAACCTTTAAGCAGACATCAAAAAGAAGTCTCTGTCTCAAAGATAATTCCTGAAAAGTTGGGAATATATGAAAATGAATTAGAAGAATGTTTTTAAACTGAAGGTTATAACATAATGGTGGTGCTCTACTATCAGAACCATGCTCCCAGTTTACATGCCATAGAATTTCAGAGTTCTTATTTTATATTTACTTATGCAAGTGTTATAGCAACCCCCTATTGGATAGATCATTAGCCTATAGCCAGGAGGATGCAAAATGGGAGAGAACACTCTGTGTGCTACACAGATTCTTTCCTCATAGGCCTGGGAGAGAATAGTCTGTATGCCATGCTCTGATTCTTTCCACAAGGGCCTGGTGCAATGATGGAGATGAGAGGCAGACTCATACTCTGATGTGGTAGACCAATTCGTACAAGAAAACCCCACACTTTTAGGATTTTACAAGTAAACCATAGAAATCTGCTGTGTGGTTTTTAACTGAGAAGCCATTTTACAATGTTACACTGTACTCTTCAGAAACAGAAGCCTTGCAGTAAAATTTTTTAAAAGTGCATTATAAAAAAAGATTTTTTTATGTGTATTCCACAATTCCAGCGTTAATCATTCAGTCAGCATGCTAACATGCTACCAAAGACACTGTCATTCCACATACCAGAATCATCCATGACAGCAATTGCTTGCTCTGCTTTATGCTGCAAAGCAAGAAGAGCTGCCTGTCTTCCTTGAAGAGCTTTCAATTGCTCCTGCTGTTGTAGCATCCTTTTCAACAAATCATGCTGCTTCTTCAAGTTCTCCAACTCCTCTTTAGCTTCCTGTTGAGGATCTCTGGCCTGCAAGATATGGCAGAAGATTACCATAATCACAACAATTTATTTGTTGAGTACTAGTGACAGAAGTGTCAAAACAGCAGAACTTTAATAGACTCAAACAGCCTGGTTAGTGTAAAAAAGGTGAAAATGAAATGGCTTCACCTTTCTGGTAGCTCTTGTCAGTCTAAAAATTTTGGAGATCCCATAGGGAGAAGCCTGTACCACCAAGACATACTTACCACTTCCGGGCGCTAAGTTTTCTTTAGAAATTCAATCAACTACCCTAACATGTCCTAAAGACTAACTCGAGCATCCCTCTGTCTTTTTAATCATGAAAGAGGGCACTAAGCTATAAGACTCGTAAAGCTAAGCAAGACAAGTATCACAAAGCTACATATAATACAAGATCTAGATTAATTTACTGGCCTAAAACCTCGAAATTTTCAGCAGAACATTCTGAGTAGTTATTCTTCTCTAACCTATAGTGTGTTTAGCTTTCTATGCTATATTTATGCCGTTGATGCCAGAATAGACCTGACTTATGTAAATCAATTTCAAAACAAAAACATGCACGGAAACCCCTCTATTCCATATTTTCAAACACATTGAAACAGATCTGTAGGAATGAAAGCATGTTGAGCAGTTAAAATATATTAAAACTACATTCTTTTCCTCATCCCATCCTAACTGAAAGCTAGAGATTTGCCTCAAAACTTTTATTCCAGGACTCTCAGCAAATTAAGTATTTTAATGAGACATCCGCAGTTAAGATCCTGATCCTGTTTGAAGTTGGACTATCGCACTATGCAGATGAAATCCTGGAAATGTTTGCCTCTTTTTTGCTAGGAGTTGACAAGTATTTAAAAAGAACATTAATAACTTAAAAGCATCATCCTCTCTCCAAATAGTGCTAAGTTCCTGAAGTACAAAATTCTCTCAGTCTAAAAATACTGCACCAAAAGTCAGAATAAAAGCAGGAATCTTATTAACTAGTTCCGAGTCCCAGGGAATGCCCAACTTTCCAGCAGAGAAAGGAGAACGCCTCCAGAATTCTAAACTTCTCAAAGCATCACTAAAACATGCACTGCAACTGATCAACAATGAAATCAACACAGGAAGGAACGAGGGGAAGGAAGGGGAAAAGGGGATCTGTCTCAGTCTCACTCATCTACTAAATAATTCAAGCTTTACCTAAAGTACCATGTTTGCTTGAGTTCGTTAAAATCACATAACATATTTTTCAAGCTTAGTTCTACATTTAGACTAATAAGCTTCACAAAACATTTAATACCTTTATTTTATGGAAAAAAAAAAAACACTTAAACCTTTTTCTTTTTTTTTTTTTTATGAGACAAAGCCATAGAAAAGCTAGTAACAGGTAACAACAGAAGCTTCAGACTCCGAGCCCCTTAGTCTTCCCCCTTCCAACCAAATATTTATATAAACAACTATACGAAAACATTTGTGGAACAAATTAAGGCTACTATTTCCCAATTTATGTTCTCTCTATGGTATTAGCTTAAATTTGCATTAGCAGACTATTGGTGTAAACATGACAAGTGTCTGAAAGTCACATTTACAATAAGTTTTCCCAGAAAGAGAACAGCAAAACTGGAAGGATCATCTACATAAAATCAGAGCACCTGCTGTACAAAAACTACACCTCACACTTTCTCTGTCAATGTTGACGCTTCAGAAGAGAAAGTTGTCAAACATCTCTATTTAAAGAAAAAAATAAAACAACTCTAGGCAAAGAACATTCATTCAATGAAAAGACAGCTGGATACAAATAAGCAGGCCAAAGGGGAACATTCACTGTAAGTAACAAATACATTTGAAGTGGCTAACAAGAGAAAAAACAATATTAAAAGATCAGCACATATAAACCCTATTTGAGGCTAAAATAGTATTCTGAAGTGTACCTTTGAAGGCAATCCATGTTCTTGGCTATTAATTCTACAAAGCCAGATTTCCCTGTCATTCAGAGCAGCTCTGTCACTTTTCCCTTTAGGCCTTGCTGTTACATCAATGTCTGTAACCTGTTCTTGTGAAGCTGAATTCCCTAGTTTGTCCTCAATGCGGGGCCGAACGCTCAAACTAAAAGATACCTCCTTTATTAAATAGTTTAGTATGTTAGATCTTGAACATGTGCTCCAACTTAATATGCATCTTTAAGTTACAAACCTAGCCACTTGTATTTTACCAAATAAAGAAAAATATCAAATAAAATCTACTGAAGAGCAAAGGCATCTCTAGTCATTTTTAGAATTTTTATAACAATAAGGCTCCATATAGCAATCAACCTTATAAGACTAGTAGTATTTATTCTGCAGTTAATACATTCAAGCTGCATGTAAAGAGATATCAGACACATATGAAGGGCCAAACATGAAACTGAAACCTATTTTGCAAAGATGAAGAAAAATGCATGTTCACATACATACTTCTTAATAACTTTTTCTGCATTTTTTTTGAAGTTAAAAGTAGATCGTCCTTGTCTATCATTTTATTTCCTTACAGGGATAGAAACAGTTTTTACAACGCTAGAAATAATTACAAAAAATTCTTAATGTTTTAACTGCTGTTTTACTTCCAAGCATGTAAATTCTCCTCACCTGCAGAACATTCAGTGTACTAGCTGGCAAAAAGAGTACCAGGTCTCTAACACTTTTCCCCAGTATTAGAACGTGTAAAACTTCAGTTGTTATTAAAATGCTTTTGTTGTACTACAAGAATTGTTTACCATATTAACATAAAAGATTTTATAAATGGAAAGGAAAATTGTCTGTGAATCTCAGAACACTTTTTCTAAAAGGTGCTCATCTCCAAAAAAGGAGAGAAACTTCTGGGTTAGGTTAACAGTTCTATCATATCACTACCAAGATGCTTGCGCAACGGCCCACTAACGACTCATTCCTAACTCTCTCTTCATCCAACACCAGCAAGTTTTCCCCATTAACAGAAACAAATTTGTAGAAGAAAAATTGTACAGAAAACTATTCGTTCCTAGATCAATCCAGTGCATGCCCTGCCAAAGTAAACGTTTAACCCTTCATTTGACTTTGAAGAAAGACTAAATATTTTTTAAAAACTAATCAAGATCTATTGTTGTTGTGACAGAATCATTAATTTTCCCATATAAAAATAAAAGATATGCACACATGTATGAACACCTCCGGAACAGAGTGTTTGTGGATTTACTATTTAATCAAACTGCAGATGATGACACTATCATAACAATCACGACAAAACCAAAACAAACAAGCTCTTCATTTCTAGCACCTTAATTACTAAAAGGCAGCTTACCGTGGTATCTGAAGCCTCAGACTGCACATCAATGTTTAGCAATGTGCTCTCACCTACAGAACCAGATCCCACAGCTGAATCTACAGTCCGAACATCATCCTCCTCATTTTCTCTAGCCTGAAATATTTCATTGGCATAAATCAAAAGCTAAGTACAGGGGCAGTAAAAATGAATTATGGAAGGTACTATGTATCAAAACCAACACCCCCAGTAGCACCATCAAAACATCAATGGTCAACTCCTAAAAAAAGCTTACAGCGCAGAAACAAACATATTATGTTCTCAAACTTACAAGCATCTTTTGCAAAAATTTCAGATAGGATTTCTCCTGCTCTTTAAGATGATCTATAAGGTGTGATAAACGCTCAACATTGGCCGATCTCTCATTTTTCTCTACAAGATCATCCCGCATGGAGCTGGCCTTAGCAATATAGTCGCGAATTTGAACTAGTCTGCTCACAATCTGTAAAGACACTGAAGTTACTGAATGCATTCAGCTACAGCTTTAACGTATTTAATGCACAAGACATGGTGATAGCAACAGCAAAGCAGTAATTACAGGGGTGACATACCAGTACTTTCAATCCTACAAGCACATTTCTGCAAGTGGTTAAAAATCAACAGCTTTTATAAGGACAGATTTATGCATGCATGAAGTTGCAAGACTGAAGCACGGGGCTCGTCAACATAGGCTACAACAGAATTGAGCTCATTAACATACAATAATATTAACCTGTGAGAGTATCTTCTGGAACTGTATAAAAGAGAACCAACCTCTAAGATGAAAATTAATACCGCTTCTGTTACGAATAAGCAGATTTCTAAAGAACAATACATGATTAAGTTTGGTTTCACATTTTCCTCAAGTTGCCTGTTAGAACAGTGGGAAGATCAGTATTTCCAATAAAGATTTAACAGTTACACTTTTTGGAAATTTAGAATGATGCACTGAAAAGTAACACGGTAATTAAAACATTTCTAAGAGTCAGTATTCTGTAGCCTTTATAGGCCATGTAAATACCTGGCTGCTATCCACAGCTGGTTCTCCCCTTCCATCTTCTTGCGCAGAGACTTGACAATTCTGCAAGAAATCCTTACTTAGAGCAGCTCCAAACAACTCTTTACATTGCACTGATACCCCGCTTTCCTTTTTTTGGGAACCTGAGGCAGGATCTTTGCTTTTGTTAGTGTTTATCTGCAGTGACAGGAAGTTGAATGGCTTTTTGTTTTCATTAAGTTGACGTTTGTTGTTAGCAGCCGTTGCCCTGCCTTGAGAATCACTTCCAATGCTCCTCTATAAACAAACAAAAAGCAAACAATTGCTTTATTTTTTTCCTCCAGTACATTCTCAACACTAATTAGTTTCACTGCTTGGATTACCAGTTCCCCAGTATTATTAGACTGATTTTAAAGTCAGCTTATTAGTCACTGACTAGCCAAAAGCTAGCTAAAAATAGTGCTGGTGATTTTTGCCATGTAGTTTTTAGAAAGCAAGCCCACCCTTCTAGAACAGCTGAGAAGCAATAGGGTTCTGCAGTTCCTCAAAGCTTCGCTCCTCATCCTTGCTGTGGCCTCCACCTTCACTATAGTGAAAGGCATCCTACTTTTCCAGATACATTTGAGAGAATAACAATAATAAAACAGCAACATATTCACTTACAGACTATGATACCTCATACTTCAGCTTTTCTTTAGAACTTTCTGAATAGCAGCTTGATGCTGTAACATGCCTTTGGGGAAGAATTTATGCCCAGTCTTTATACTCTAAGTCAAAGCAATAAGTCACATTTGAAAGAACCTTCACAACCCAAACAAGTTAACAACAAACTTCGGCAAAGATTAACAAGCCTCTATTCTGAAACTGTTAGCACAAATTTATGCCTTGTTACCAAGGAATTAATCCCTTATACTTTTCATTATTTTGGACAAGGAAAGGATGAGCGTGCCATATTCCCAAAGAAGCAGTTATGGCTCAAGAACTCACGCTACACATTGCCGTATACTCTACTGGCAAGCAGTTTCTAATGCTACAGTTCTGCTTAATCCACAAGGATAACAATGTTCAGAACCCCAAAATGGCACTTCAGGAACAGACTTTCAAAATAAGGTAACAGATATGTTCAAGTTGCAGACAAGTATGCTGAGTAAGAAATACTGATTTGAGGACACAGGTATCTGTTAATGATTGAGAGGAAAAGACAGCTAGCACACTGTCAAGTATAGCAAAGCCATGGTCCTGAACTTTCCACAATTCTCTTCAGCTCAGAACCAGAATTTTGATTTGGCTTCCACTGCACCTGTAAGCTTTTTTAAAAATCTTTATCACTTACGCAAGCTTTCTTTATTCATCTGTCAAATCATTAAGAGATAGCCGAATAAATTTTATAGTCACATTTATAGTGGGAGCTAGTATTCACACAAACCTGATCCAGATCACCAAAGTTTATTCTTTGTTTAAGCCTTTCTAGTTCAGCCTGCTCTGGAACAGACATCTGGGTGACGTATCGAGCATGAGGAAAACTATGAGGAGTTCTGGTCTTTCGTCGTCCCATTCCAGGTGAGGATTCTGGAGATATATCATTAGTAAGCCTCGTTTCAGCTTCCCCACCAAGCTTTTTCTTGTTTTTTTCTGAAGATCTGTTTGCTTTCTTCTGCTGACCTCCCCAGTCCTTAGAGAGGAAGGAGGGAAGAAAAAAAAATGTATTTTTTATCCACATAGATAAAAAGTAAACATTTTAGTTCAGTGAAAGAGAGTTTACCTCCATTTTATAAGTAAAAATAAAAAGTGATACCAAAATATGCACTAAGTATTCTAGTGCAAACATCACACTACAAAATGTAATTTTCTCCACTGCATAAATTAAACATAGCTTGTCAGGAAATTTTAAACCCTTTTCACTCTACAATGCATTAAATTATTTTCTAATGAAGTTAAATTTCAATTTTTCTTCTTTGCTGAAGACTCTTCAGCAATGTGGAACATTTAAAACTAGTCTTCACTCTCATGACACCTACAATGCTTTTGCGTCTAACTACTTTATTTACCCAAAACACTTTTCATAAATACATCTGCAGACTTCACAACCTCTGAATTACACTCACTGCTTGCTGACATGTACCTCAATTATTTTTACTGGTTTTGTGGATACTTATCTGTAAAGCTGTACTGACAAGGCTTAGGATTTTGCATTGTTACCTACCACAGACAGAATCTACCTGGTAATCTTCACACACAGCATAAAATAGCAACTGAGGGATAAGATGAATCATACCGTGTTGTTCAGTCGATCATCAAGGCTCTCATTGCTCCAGCTAGGCAAGTCCTGATCATTCATGCCTTCTTCAAAGGGACCACCTCCTGTTGCCATGACAAGCAATCAATAAAAAGAATCTGAAAGAAATAGCTGAAAGACATGTGCTGTATTAAAATCAGTTCATGCAGAATATTCTAAAGATTCATAATCTGATATTATAACTACATATTCATTACAAAATGCAAACATAAGGCTATTTCAGAAAACTAAACCCCTCGTTTCCTAAACGCTGTTACTAAAAATGCAACAGTGAGAGGAACACAGAAACTGACATTAAAAATTAAACAAGTAGTAGTTGTGGGTTTGGGTATTTTTATCCCTTCTCTTAGAAAGTAAACTTTTTTTTTGAGGCTCTCAATATTCCTCACTTTAAAACACGCTTTACAGTGCTTGGAAAGATTGCTTTGTGATTCATAAAGCCTGCACTTGCAGGTCCAAGCTGATGTCTACTTGATACAGTAAGTGAATTTGAAGACCTGTTATGTCAAACTTTTGAATTTATTTCAATATTAAAATGTTGACAACAGAGCACTGAAGGGGATACTTAATACAATACATGGAAAACAGGCATCAATAAAAGAATTTTTACTTTCTTAACTACAGGTTAAGTTACTTAAGCAGCGAATGCTGTGCCACTTACATTATAGTTTCTAGCAAAAGGAAACAAAATAATTTGGGTTTCCTAGAGCTTTGCTGCTCTCTAATAGTGTCATTCTGTGCAGTTTAAAGCAACCTATATATTAAAAGTTTTCACTTCCACTTCTAATTTTCACATTTATAACAAAATTGTTAAAGCTGAAAGATCAGCAACAAAGTATTCCCTTATAGCAGTAAAATTAAGATCAGCCTGTTCAAAAAGGTGAAGAACACGCAAGTGTAAATACTCGCTGGCTGCAATGAAAACTGTGTAGCCTAAGTGCTGCTGGCACAGTGCCACTGCACAAAGCTACAAACTTTGCCTTTATAACAGCTATGAAGTTCCGTTACAGATGTAGAAGAAAAACAGTCTTACAGAGAATTTTTTCCAGCTAGTTTAAACAGGAATGCTGGGACATAATCCTAGCTTTATCTTTAACTGAAAAAAAAAAATAAAAGGACCATTTATTTCTAAACAATTTCCACTATTTCTATTTCTAAACAATATCTACTATTAATTTTCACACCAAAATTTCACAGTGCATGTGAAGAAATCACCTAAGACTTAAGATTAAGAAGTATCAAAGAAGGTTTCTTTTTTTTCACAACCAGTTCCAGAAAAAAAAAAAAAAAATAATCCTGAGCTAAGTTTAAAAGCTGTACTAGTACACCTATCTTGCTTTGGTATAGTATTCAACCAAAATCACACAGTACAGCCCTCTCAGTAGGTGCACTTGCACAAAGCAGTATTTTTATGCAAATACAGCCTATTACTATACCATTATGGAAATGGGATCTATCATTACACCATAACCACATCTCCACTTGGCAGCGTACCAACCCAAGTCACACTAACACAGTTAGGAGTAGTTCAGCTTCTGCATCTCGCAATCAGAATCACAACACAGGTGTAATTAAGCACCTGCTGCTTTGGGTACTGGCAGATCTGTGTCCTACTGTCCTTGCACATTTGCTCATACTCCCTTCTTCATCCCAACAGAAGTGTCCAATAGGCCATGCAATCAGACGGTATCATCTATAAACTAGCTAGCCAACAAACAAATCCAACATTTTTAAAAAAAGACAGACAAGTTCTCACCCGGGTAAGCTCCCTGATCTGGCTAACCTTATGACTATAGAAGAACGATCTGTAGGTTCAAGAAAGGCAAATAAAAGCCGGGTCATCAGCAGGAGTGAAACTCAGGCAGATCAAGTGTAAAACCACACCTCCTGTGCAACTTTCACCCAGGTGAACCATCAAATTTATTTAGACAATAAGAACACAACAGCCTGTCACATTTTATTTTCATGTAGAAGCATAAGCATCCTATAAAAGCTCACAGGGAAGCTCTCCTGCTAACTCGAAGTAAATTTGACAAGCATTCAAAACAAATGCATAGTTATCAGTTCAGCTTATTTTAGACAACACCTGCTTTGTAAGAACCTTCTTCAGTTACAGACACACTGTTCAGCTTTGTAGATGTGCAAGACCCAACACTTCAATTCTGACCTATACCACTAAGCATAATGAGTTCATCCCAACAAGATTAGAGGCCATCTGGGTTTATAGCCCAATTCGGTAAGCTGTTGCCTCCTCGTCATGTTATATAATTCTACTGAAACCATAGCAAAAGAAGTTTTTCCCTACCTTCCACTGTAAAAACAAGACATGGCAGTATTCATCTTGGGGAAATATAAATACCTATTCGCATTTACTTCATTTAAAACTTTCATAAAAGGTATCTTCAATTATCTTTGCTGTAGGAGTCTCTGATAACCTCTGGAGTAATTCACTGCCACAGATGCAATATTCTCAGTAATATTCTCAAACAAGGACAGTAGGCACACACCAATGCACCGTATTAGAAACAGCTCAGAAATGACAATATCCTGATTACTGCCAGCAAGCAGATTTCGTGTTCTAACAGAAGTGTGCAAGTCTCTAAACATTTGTATTACAGCCTTTGATATTTCCAAATGAGTTATATTGAAGTGCACTTAAGATTACACAGCTATGCTGAGATTTTATCCCTTCATCTCACTTAAAAAAACACAGTTTCAGCCAGCTTTTTCCTTAGAGATGAAACTCTCCCCTATCAAGCTGTGTTTTTCACCTCCCCACACACACTTCGCTCATCTCTATTTTTTCTTACTTTTCATTTTACCACTTCCTTCCACAAGAAATCCTCTTAGAAAAGCTTCGGTGCCCTCCCATTTTGCTATTTCTGCATCCGGCAACCCATTACCAACCTCAGCTTCTCGCTCGTCACAGAATCTGTACGAAAGCTCTGCCTGAGCATGTGCACGCCGCCTTACAACATTTACTAGGTAACCCGAGAAGAAGACTTTCACGTATATTTTCTAGAAAAATAGTAACTTAGGACAACACGCAAGATTATAGTCAAATCATATCTGGTCCAAATTGCCCAGAAGTATCAGCGGAGGGACGGCCATCCCGCACCCTCCACCCCCGCCCCGCCGGGCCGCT